AAAAAAAAAGAGCTCTTCATTATTTCTAACAGTGCAATTTAAAATAAAACCTATAAAATTTTTTCTCTTTTTTGACAACCATTTGGCAAGTGAGAAGACCACCTGAGACAGTGCTTTGTGGGCAGTTATTCAAGCCTAGCTTGCCCTGAGATTGGGAATAGGGGGGTTGCAGGAAATTATATTGAGACAACACCCTTAACAATGTACCACCACCTGTCTCACTCACTCACTCACTCACACATACACACACACACACACACACACACAGGTCTGCAAACCTCCTAGTCCAAATCCAGAGCAACCTCAACACAAAACAGGCTAGAAGCTACTCTATGATTGAAGCTAAATGCAAGAACAGAATAACAGAACTAAACCAAAGGAGGGAAGCCACACCAGGTTCCCAGCTGAGGAGGCAACATCTTAAAGACCTTCCAGATGGAGACGGTGCACTGCAGTTGTTGTAAGAGTCCATTCTAGTTGTTACGAGAAACTGAGGAAATGTCATAAGGGGGGAGAAAAAAAAAAATCTTAAACAAATTCAGTGCATTGCTCGTCCTTCTCAGGAAAAAAAAAAAAAAATCTAATCCTGTTCTCAGTGTTGCTCAGTTATATAAATGAGTCTTATAAGGTTAAGCCTGCAGTCTGGTGTATTACAAGGCTGAAGCCAAACTATTAGTGATTTTATTTTCAGTTCTTGTGGTTTAACTGAGCCATACACCTCAAGTAAAGAATAAAATGTGCAAAACAAAATCCCAAATGAGGCAGGAGGACCTAGTCTTTGCTCTGCTGTTGACTTCTGCTGCTGAAAGCATTCATTCATACAGACTGTGGTGGTTAAAACGTTGTTATTTTTCCTCTTTCATTCCGTGTTATTTAGGTGATTCTGCTGAAGTCTGGACATAGGTAGTTCTGCCCTTTGTTTGAGGAGCCATGTCCTTATGTGCCATGAATACAGAAGAATCAAGGGTGAGAGAGGAGCTTGGTAAGATGAACCTTGTCATCGTCAGTACTATCACCAGGGCTCTCGCTAATAGCAGGGTGTTTCTTTTCCCATACAGACTGAATATGTGTTCATCTGTACATATCCCACCCTCAGTAGGCTGACACAGGAAGAAGCGACACCCCAAATTAGTGACTCCGGTTTCTCTCAATGAGGGAAGGCTGGAACAGATTTGCCCAAACCAACTCTTCATATTTGTCCAAGTCTTTGTTAGATACTTTCTCTTGATGCCAACAGCACTGTGTCAGCATTGTTGTTGGAGAAAAATAACAAAGCTGAGCTTTGCAAGCAGGTTCCACTGAGTTCCCCAAGTCGGTTGGGTGAAGTTTAGGGATATGCTCAGCGTGATGGACAGGCGTCGAGCCTGCGCTCCTCTGTACGCCTTTGATGATCTGGGTTAGGATCGATCTAGAAACAACAACAAATAGCTGATGTAATATAGCCTGTAATCAAAAAATAAATGGAATATTGCTTCTCATAATGTTACCTGGTGCTTACCTCAGAGTAAAGAGGAGGGGGCTGGAAGCGGAACTCATGAATATAGGCAAAGAGAGGCCCGTCCAGCTCCTCACGAGCTGCAGGGACATCCACGCAGCTCTGCCTCTGCTCTTCTGTCACAATTTCTGCATAGCTTGGAGGAGCTGCAGAGAACAAGCCACATGTCAGCATTCATGGTAATTATATTAAAAATAGAAATATAAATTTGAGTCATGATATGAGTCATATGACCCAACCTACCCTCAGGCAGACCTATTCCCAGCCAGCTCATGCTGCACTGGCTGCTGACACTGGAGGTACGGGAGCCGAAGGGATGGAGAGGGATGGTTCCGATGACCAGGGGCAGGTTTAGGGACAGGTTAATTGCACCAGGTATGTCCACGTATACCTGACCACAGACATGAGGACACCACCAGAGGTTAGCATATGCAAGTCTTTTTGGGACATTAAACAGTAAATGAGTGCAGTAACCTAGTAAATGAATGGCTTTGGAGCTGAACATTCAGCATGAAACCAAATGTTATTTAATCATCTGTATGATATGCTAGTCAGGCCTAAATGAGCTTTGCTCTAATTCAATAATAAGGTAAAGCCCTCCCCTGGTGCCTGTGTGTTCACAGGGTAACTCAAGTCAGGTGTTACCACAAATAGTCTGGGCTAATGCTCTTAGCAGCATGCGGCGATAACCCCTGAAACAATCTAAGATCCAGATTTGGTAGTGCTAGCTGAGTCAGCCAGGTCCTTTACCAGAAGGCATACTTACTTACTTCTACAATGAAAATGATACTGAGTAATGGTGATAATAAAACACAAGAGTAATGCAAGGCGGCCATAAAAGAAAAGGCAATTGTGCTAAATGTTTAAAAAATATGAAAGTTGAAAATAGTCCAAAAACTGTAAAACTGTATTCACCATGAGTGAGTACTCCACTCTGATGATGCTACAGTCCAGAATGGAGGGTGAGACAGGTGGGATCTTCAGCATCTTGCCATTCCAGGTCTCCGTTTTGCCTGAGGACAAAGACTCTCCACGTAGGTTAGCTACCAGCTGCTTGACCTCCTTCATCTTCCCTTTGGCATAGAAGGTCTGGGTCTGGTAGATGGCTGCCTTTGGCACCACCATGCGGGATGAGCAGTTCTCGATCTCAGCAAAGATCTGGATCGACTCTCCTACAGAGTTAAAGCAGGGAGGAGAGAGGTTAGCGTAGGTTTTTATTTACACATTTCATGAATCAGCTTTTTCCCCTGGTGTGTAATTAGCAATTAATGCAATAATATACAGGCCGAGATACATCCAGTAACTTATCTCTAGCCAGAAGAGTTACTAACAAAGTTATAAGTTGCATTATTAATCCTTAACCTATTCCCACCTGGGGTGTATCCCTTCCTTTCAATTTTGGCACTTAGGGAAATAGGGCCTGAGGTGCACAACCAACAACAAAGCGTCTTGTCTTTCGTGCCGGCCTGTGGTGCCTAAAGAGGAAAAAACAAACAAACATAAATATTTAGAGTTGTCCTGTGTTTTGACCACCAACATATAAGAAAAACTTTTGTGTTGTTAGGTTGAAAATCATGTATGCATGTGTAACCGGGGTATAATAATTACACAGAATGTAACCAGGATGTAATAATTGCACAGAATGTAACCGGGATGTAATAATTACACAGAATGTAACCGGGATATAATAATTGCACAGAATGTAACCGGGATATAATAATTACACAGAATGTAACCAGGATGTAATAATTACACAACACGTTTTGGTTCATGTGCAAGTTAATTCACATGCCTGGTCAGGGATACCTCCACTCCACTAGGGCTCGCAGCTGAGCCATGCTTTTCTTTGTTGGTAGCCGGGTATAAAGAGGGGTCGCGCACCTCTTCCACTCTCTTTCCTGCATGGTGTCGAGTGGAAAGAGGTGAGCGCTCCATCCATTTGTGACTATTTTACTTTTATTGTCCACCCTGGGTCGCATGGGTAAACTTGTTGTGTGCTTTTGTTTAGGAGCGAGCTGAGCACTCACTGGAGGCAATCTGTTTTATGTTTTTTTCCTCTGTGACCAGCAATAAAGGGCCCCCGTTGAATAGCAAATGTGTCGGTCCATGTGTCCCAAGAAAACACAACGCAGCATGGCCGGTTATCAGAGGGACAGGCGAGATGGCAGGGACTAAGAGGACAGCTTTGAGACTCAAAGGCGACCGGTTACACATGCTGCTGTTATTTCTATCCATTCTGTTAAAACTAGACAACCATTTGATGTTTATCTATCCACAAGTCAGGGCTTATAGTCAAAACTGCTGATGCTTCTGAAAAGATGGAGCCAGTCACAACAAAAATAAGGAGCAAGAGACTGGAGAATTCTTTCCAGTGTTTCCCCATAATTTTGAAAATGATGTCTAGAGTGAGTCAGACCTAAGCCGTACAGTATTCTCTCTACAATTTAGGGCCTCAGCCTGCTGAAAGGATAGCCAAATCTAAGGGCTGTTTCAAAAAAAATGATTACCAGCAGTAATGGAGTGTTGATGTCAATGTGCTCAAAGACTGTAAATTCCTTCTTGGTCTTCATAGGCAGGAGCCATGGCCTGTGGAGTTCTGCCTTTACCCAGTAGCGCACGCTGCCATGCTTCCCTTCGAAAGAGGTAGCCAGAGGTCTACAGTAAAGAAGTCAGAGAGAAAAAGAAGGGAAACTGTTACATTAACTGTCAGAAGCTCGCATATGCTACAGCTGAATGATGATAAATATTTAATTTCTGGCTCAAGTGTACTTACGTCTGTGGAAGCTCGAAGCTGAATGCATACTCGTGTCTTCCTGAATGGATAGTGGTAAGTCCTTCCTCAGAGTTGTCATCCTCTGAAAAACAAGGAGGACAATAGTCCAGACACATGTATACCATACCTGGGTAAAATGCTCTACGAAGGCATCTGAAAGTCATACCAAAAAACACAGGGTGGGGGGAGACAAAAGAGAATACATGGATTTTACTATTAGGCTATATCTGTCTGAAAAAAAAAGTATGTATTTAGAGATCAGAGAAAGACTAGTATTTAAAAGGACACCAAAAATGCCAGACTGCTTAAAAAGTTCCAGAAACTGAGAATGCAAAATTGAGCTTCTATAGGACCAAGGCGCTCTATCAGCCAGGATAACTAGGCTATAACAACAATAAAAATCATAACCTACAGATAAATCTGCTTCACTAACAAGAACCAAATTATTTTCTATAAAAATAAAAAAAATAAAAACAGGGGAAGGACAGTTTTACACCGTGAAACTGCTTGTAGGATGCAGTAAGGAACACTATTACTTATCATTTGTAATATCGTGAGTGTATTCTAAAAAGGTGGGCATACAGCTGGGGATGTTTCTGCCAGCTCAGCACTCCCTTCCCCTAGCAGCAGCAGTGTGGTAAACAAGTGCGGAGCTGTCAGTCAAACGGCAGACTCCGGCAGGAGGAGACCGGCCTAAACCGGTGTGAGCAGCCTCCCACGGCCGCCCTGCTCTCATTACGCATTCACTATGCGACACTGCAGTTACTGGTGCCTCCAACTACAGCGGGTTTCTATCTTTTTATCCACTTCAGCCTCACAGGAAATTTATCTTTTGTTGAAGCATCCCTTTTGGTTTGTTTGTAGCAATATATCTCGACAATTTAAAACCAAGTTCTGCAGATGATTTTTACAATTTGCGTTAAATCCAAAAGCCTAGTCGAGACAGAATGCAGCTATCCAAAACAAGTTAAGCAGCTACACACATTGTACAATAAACTATTTGTCAATCTAATAATAAAAAGATGTGCATGAACGCACCCTAAACTAAACCCAAACCATTAATAGCATACACGTATGTAGAAATATAAACGCTCACAAGGGGCGTTTCTTACAATGAAAAACATCAAATATTCTCTGGATAAACTGCATAGATATGTCTAAAGGTGCAAACAATAAAGTCCAATGCAACCTCATTATGTTCCAGCAAATCAAATAAATATTCGTGGGCGAAGGGAAGATACAAGCAATTCAGTGGAAGAAAATTGGAAACAACGTATCAGCCTTTACTTTTATAATATTTTAAATCATATTCCTCTTTTGCAGGTGGTTTTTCTGCATTAAAAAAACTTGCAAAAATTTTCTGTCACTCTGCAGGAGAGTGACATCATTGGCCACACATGAGCACCTTAACCAATGACACAGGGACGAGCCTGTTCTTTGCTCCGCCCACTTTCCGTCCAGTTTTCTGAACAGGATTGAACCGCTTTGAACAATGGGTGGAAACTTCAGAAAAAGCTATAGAACAAACGCATAATATGATGGGGTTTGGCATTGAAAACGTATAACTAAGCTGTATATGCATCATAGCAAGTTATTCCCCAAACGTCCCGCGTCTGTACTGACAAATTTTATTTTTTCACTTGGAATACAAAAAAAAAAAAAATGGATACCTGGGCTGCTGTCATTCATTCGAACACCTTGAAACAAACAAGTGACGATGGAGCTGTATACGACCAGTATCACAAAAATCTACTTCCAGCAACGCCACCAGAACCTAAACTAAATTTTGTCTGTTATCGTCACTATTCCAAGCAGTAAACACAACAGCATCCCTCACGTAAACTCCTCAATGAGCACAAAGCGCATCTCATAGTCGGCTTCTACGAAAGTTCTGCAAAATAAATTAATAAATAAAACCACACGCTCTTACCTCTCTCGTGTCCAATTAAAATGCATTTATGATGTAGGTACTCCACTTCTTCCGTGTAGTTTTGCGTGTAGGCAGTGTTGGATCCAGCATTTCTCGATTCAGTCCAACGAACTTTTGCAAATCCTTTCGCGTGGATTTTGAGAGATTTCACACGGATTTCTCCTGTGACTTCAATGATCACCCTCCCTGAGACGCAGTCCCCGCTGGAGAAAACGGGAACATTGCTGTCATTGAGACAGTCGTAGCTTACTGTGAAGCTCTTTACCTTTCCTAGCACCATGGTGGAAAGATAGGCTACTGAGATCTTGAAATTACAAAAACAGTCTATGAAAAAATAATCGCATAGCCTATGAAAAGGGGATGCAGATTTTAGGCACTGATCAGTATCTCTGCCCTGCAAAAAAGCAGCAGGCACGATCAGTGGCTTCTTTGTGAGCAGTTCATTGAGATGTGAGAAGGCTGAATAACAGCAGTGGATGCTGTTATCATCCGCCTCTCTGCCTGTTGGTCTCCAGTTAAAGACAAGGAAACTCCCGTAGCTCAGCTCACTTTAAGGGACAGGCTGTGTGAAAAACAACCATGAGCGCATGCGCCCAACTTCACTGCCCCCACCTTCCGCCTTCTGGAATAAGGCAGAGCAGTATGGCACGCAGCCAGATGATAAGTTTGGACAAACAGCTGAAAGACTGCACAAAGAAATGTTCACAAACAGTGCGAGGCTTTAGCTTATAGGCAATTTGTTATAGGCTATATAAGATTCGCCAGTAGGCTACGTCTAGCCCCAACACATCATCCCAGCATATTTCCACGCGTTTAATTCAGAGATTCATATAAAGAATATCTGCTGATTGCAATCAAACAAAAATACACGTTTCCGATGCTCCATAATATGGTCGTTAGCTAATACAGTAACGAGCTATAAATAGTACATCACCACTGAGTCTCTTTATACAGCTTCCCGTCTTATGTCTATGCCCCCTATTCCACACATAGAGGTCTGTCTCATACATCAAGGATCACTCTACATCCTTGTGCAATCAGCTGAAAATAACAGCTGATCTTGCAAAGGCCTGCAAGATGCTTCATGTAGATTCCCTGGTGCTGTGTAGGCCTACGATTTAAGGAGGGAGATGGTGCACAAACATTCAGAAAAACGTGTATTCTTTTATTAAATATGTAGTTTTATTGTATTAAGATTAAAATGATCCATGCTCTTATGGTGAATTTGGATTTCTCATTGTGTGTAACCTGCAGCTTACGGAACAACTGAGACTCAAAACGCCATCTGGTGGCCGTCAGGGCTTCTGAAATGAGCCGCAGTATCACTTGTTGAACAGCCCTATAACTCCTGTTTTTTTGTTTGTTTGTTTGTTTGTTTGTTTGTTTTTAGCTTAACAAAGCAATTAAAGATTTCAAAAACCATCCGTTTTATTTGAATTCACTGTTTAATAGGCACCATACCACTTATCATTAGCATTTTTATGTAGTGGACATTTAAGTTACACTTCTGATACAGTTTGATTTTATCATTCACTATATAAAGCTAATACAATTTAGTTATACATTTGTGATACTCTTAGGCTATAAAATGCATCAACAGTAGTTGTCATCTCAACAGCGCCAACACAACAAAATTGTGTAGCTACAGATGTTTTTTTTATTCAAAGATGAATGGTGACCTCTAGAGTTTTCACTGTGTCATTATATGTTAAAAAGCTTTATGTGGCCTATTACAGCTATCCACTTCCTAAGCGTTTCTCTCTCTCTCAGATTAATGTTGGGAATGTCTTATATTATCTTAATAAGTTAAGTTTGTTTTCCACTTGAAAAATTCAGTTCCAGCTTCATTTCAAAGGAAACAAGACAACTCTTATTTTGAAAGCGTAACCAGGATGCTTATATTAAGTCACGTCAGACATCGTTTGCAGTTTTAGAGGAACTTTCTGAATTTCTGCTCGGATGAATCTCATCTATGATCTCATCCAGTTCATACAAATCGTTTTCTTTTTACATCTGTTCACCCAAATAGTAGGAGTCGAAACGTTATGAACTCACTAGTGTTAGCTTTGATTTTCCTCTTTCACTTTTACCGTCAAAGTTTGGGCCAAAACGGGACCACCAGACCCAACATTGTGATAGTGATGAGTGATGCATTTGTAAGTATTAAGTTATATCAGTAGCAGTGTTTTTTTAAATTGTTTAATAGACCAAAGGGGAATGGGAGAACAGGCATGCTGCCAAAGATTAAACGCCACTCAAGGATGCTTTATATATTTAATCTTTGCTTCACTATCTTAGTGGCTTGAGGTATAAATGTCACTTTTCCTGTGTTTTCAGGATGGGCGATTGACGTTTGACCCTGGCCTCAAAGTTGTGCAGCTGCCATATATAAAGTATCTCAGGGAGCTTGGTTCCACCTTCCTCAATGCCTACACCAATTCTCCAATCTGCTGCCCTTCGAGAGCTGGCAAGTGACAGCACCCTCCAGTTTGAGAGGTGTTTTGGATAATTAACATGGTCATTGAGGTGGGATAATAATGTATCTCAGCACTTTAATCTTTGTCCTCAGCTATGTGGAGTGGTCGGTTTGTTCACCTCACTCATTCATGGAACAATTACAAGTGCCTTGATGGTAATGCAACAACATGGATGGACTTGCTGGAGGCAAATGGTTATCTTACCAAGATGATGGGCAAGTTGGACTACACCTCAGGGGGTCACTCTGTCAGGTAGGCAGACACTGTACTGTCAGGGATATGGACAAAGGTGTCTGTAAATTAGAGCCTGTATCCCAGATAATTGTGGTTTCAGGTAAGAAACACCTTAATATTTCCTCATTCCCATTTACCAATATGATAAATAATTGTTAGCAACCTTCTAATGAATAATAAGCAATAACAGACTGTCCAGAGCAGTGTGAGTCATCTTTGTGGATGCTTGTCTTCAAGTTTACACTTCTCAGGTTTTGGCTCTCTGCCTGCATCTTGTTGCTGTTTGTGTGTGTTTGTGCAACTACTGCAGTAATCGGGTTGAGGCCTGGACACGAGATGTACAGTTTCTTCTGCGGCAAGAGGGCCGACCTGTTACACAATTGACTGGGAACATGTCAACAGTACGAATCATGAGAGAAGACTGGAGAAACACAGACAAAGTTACACAGTGGATCCATCAGCGAGCAGCATCCTCACACCAGCCCTTCGCTCTCTATCTTGGTCTTAATCTACCTCACCCCTATAAAACAGAGTCCCTGGGCCCCACCGCAGGAGGATCAACTTTCCTTTCCTCACCATACTGGCTCACAAAGGTATGCCTTCTCTTCATGATTTTCAAATTCACAATTATATTGTATATTTTGATTTTAAAAAATCATACTGAAATCCTCCTGCAATTCCTTTTTTACACACAGGTGTCTTTTGATCTCATCTCTGTTCCTAAGTGGCTGCCTATGGCTGCTATGCACCCTGTTGACTACTACTCCACCTACACCAAAAACTGTAGTGATGTTTTCACTGAGGATGAAGTCAAAAGCATTCGGGCCTTCTATTATGCCATGTGTGCTGAAACAGATGCCCTGCTGGGTTAGTTGACAGCAGTAATTCACAAGAAGCCAGTCTCACCTACAAGGCAGATTTAGACAGCCAACACTGAGTTTGACCCTGCAGATAGCATGAGTTCAAACCAAACAGTACTAGATCCAGTGTACTGTGCAAAAGAAAACACAAGTCAGTATTTTTGCATCTTTGATCCCAACATGGACAAAAATGTAAACACTAAAGTAAAGCAGTCTTAGACTGAGAATTTGTGAGTTTTTCACAGCCAGTGTATGACCTTGTGGTAAGAAAGGTGTGGCATAGCAGGCAACAGCAAGTAACTAGATTTTAGGTGTTTGTTGTTTCAGAACAGCCTGTTAGAACATTTGGTGACTTTCACTTAAATTATTCTGTGAAAATTCACTAAAAAGAAAATAGTAAATACTTTTTATAGGCAAAATGATATGAAAGTACCATGTAAGAGCTGTTTTCACTGCACCCTAATCATGGTGACCTCCCTTATTATAAGAAAGTAAGAAATTCCACACCATGTCTGTAGCACTCATCTCTGCATCACTAAGAGAAACATTACTGTTAAATCTTCTGTATTATCCGTATTCATTAGATTTGTTTTTTCTTTGTTCAATTTCCTACTAAAAGTTACTCAACATGTTAAACTATTAAAGACCATCTAGTCTCTCTAAAGTTCATCTCCAGAGCTTGGTAAGCAGTGAGATCCTGTTTTCCACCACACTATCCTGTCACTGCTGTTCAAATAATGCCTTTTGACTGAATTAGGTAAAAATTCAGCAGCAGCTAGATGTTTATCTCCCTTGCCCTTTGTCTCACCAGGCCAAGTGATTTCAGCTCTGAGAGAGACTGGCCTGCTTAACAACACTTTTGTGATCTTCACGGCCGACCACGGAGAGCTAGCCATGGAGCACCGACAGTTCTATAAAATGTCAATGTTTGAAGGCAGTTCTCATGTTCCACTGCTCATCATGGGGCCTGGGCTGATGTCGGGCCTGCAGGTCAACCAGCTTGTGTCTTTGGTTGACATCTATGCCACTGTCCTGGGTAAAGAATCAGAAAACAAAGGATTCAAACGTCTGTTAAATTGTCTGTTGAGGGTGGAATATACTGTAATTGTCATCAAATGGAACATCAGCACTAGTCAGTTTTCACTGTAGTATTTTAACTTCACATGTGTATTTTGCAGACATTGCTGGAATCTCAGCAGGATTTAATCTCAGTGGTCATTCGCTCATTCCTCTGCTTTCCAAGTCCAGTGCTTTTTCCCGGAAGCAATACCCAGACTGGGTATTTAGTGAATATCATGGTTGTAATGCCAATGCTTCTACATACATGCTAAGAAGTGGTCGGTGGAAATACATCGCCTATGCAGACGGACTGAGTGTCCCCCCACAGCTTTTTGGTGAGTTCCTTCTTTCTGAAACTGAACTTTAATCACACCTCAAATGCTGAGAAAAAAAACACCATAACTCTAGCACCCTTTGATTTTTCAGTTTGTTTTTATTTTTGCAGACCTTACATTGGACAAGGAAGAACTTCATAACGTAGTTCTCAAATTCCCAGATGTGCAGGCACATTTGGAGAAGCTACTGCGTAGCATTGTAGACTATCCAAAAGTTTCTACAGCTGTCCATCTTTATAATAAAAAAGCATTTGAATCCTGGCGTGATAGTCTGGGGAGAAACTACAGCCAGGTCATTGCTAATCTCAGGTGGCATGTAGATTGGCAAAAGGATGCATTAGCTAATGAGAGAGCTATTGACAGGTGGCTTCATGGCTCTTTGTGACATTTGCACAGGATACTTTACTTTAAGGTGTCTGTTATTTTATGAGTTGGTCTCACACTTTGATTAAAGTTGCACTTTCATTGTCACATCTCTGACAATGAAAGAGTCAATGGCTGGAATACTGACAAACACCAAGAAGGGAGCACAGTCCTTACATCCTTACACAGGCTTCCAGGTAAATACAGAATTAAAACCTACTTATTGTCAGCAAGTCTATCAATGGTCTGGGCCCAAAATATATCAGAGATATGTTTGCTGAGTACAAGCCTGGTAGGTGTCTCAGATCTGCAGGGACTGGTTAGCTAGTGGTGAGGGCTTTTAGCCATCATGCTGTCTACAGCTCCCATTAGAACTTAGATCTGCCCCAACTGTAGCCACTTTTAAAACTAAAGACTGTTCTTTTTTCCCCATTGCATTTAATTAATGTATGCACTTTAACTGTAGACAGACTTTATCTGCTTTTATCTTTCTTCCATTACTCAATGACCAATTGCTGTTTAGCTGACTTATAGACTCAATTGTGAATAGCACTGATTTACTGTTTAGACTGTATAGACAGTAATGGAGCAAAATTCCAGACGAAAGTAGGCCCAGCTCTGATGTTTAAGTACTAAGAGATTAGTCTTAGGAAGAAGGAAAAGGGGTAGAAAATATAATTAGAACAGTGAGAATCCACAGATTACCATAGCTGTTACAGGTCCATTTAGCAGACTGTATACACACCGATGTTTTAAATCCCCTCATCCACCCACAAAAAAAGTACACTCACCTTTGGTGTAAATTACTCAGAGGTTAGTCTTGTAAAGACTGATGAAAGGTGTACAAAATATATTGAGAAAAGTGAGAATCCACAGTTTGCCACAGCTATCCTAAACATTTTTGGGACTGTTTTGCTGATTGTACAGACAATGGTGTTTCAAATTTCTGAAGGAAAGTACACCTGCCTTTAATCAAAGGTTTGTCTTGGGAAGACTCAAGTAAAGGGGTACCAAGTATAATGAGAACAGTGAAAATCCGCAGTCTGCCACAGCTATCCCGAGAGTACTATCTGACATTAGCATGTTGCTGTTTTGGATTGTCAGGTAATTGTTGCTTTAATTTGCATTTAATATTTGAATTAAATGCATTCTAATGTTTTATCTATGTGTGTCTTTTAATGTTTTATTTTTTTGTGTGCATTGTGTTAAGCAATTTGAATTGCTTTTGTGTATGAAAATGTACTATATAAATAAACTTGTCTTGACTTTCTCAGTTGTTTTAATGTGTTTTATCATTACAATAAAATATGACTATGCTTGAACTTTTACTTGACACATTTTCTCCATTACCAGCTAAGCCACACAGACCTTTAATGGGATTTGAATTTAACATGACCCCTCCTATGAATATTATAAAATTTCCATTCATTATTTTTTAAATTTTTGTTCAGTGTTCAGTTTTGAGCTTTTTAATTAACTTATTTATTTTTTAAGTTTACTTTTTATTCTCAGCCTTTATGTATCGTACACTTTATTAAGCTACAAGTAACCTTATTTTGAAATTTTAAAGTAGGCGGCGGCGCTACTCTTCACTTCCGTGTCACCCAAGAATAGCAGAGCAAGTTGTCAACACTGAATAGTCCCAACTTTTGTTAACATTTGCAAAGCTGAATATAAATTGTAACTGAATATAATGTATTATGCATACATTAAGATTTAAAGCCAGTTTTATTCCGAAGGCCGTGACAAGCTAAGAGCTATCGCTAATGCTAAACTGTATTTTAGCTCGGTTAGCGAACAATGCCTACCTACTTAAAATCGAGCTAACTTACTGGAGTTTGCCTCTTGAGTTAACGTTAGCTGTCAGCTTTTCTGTCGGGCTCACTACTACTACTCGGTAGATCTAGCAAGCAGTGGCAACTAGCTTTAAGTAAAACGCAGAGATAGTTTTAAGGAGCTCATGCTTCATTCATAAAGTTGCTTGGTAGGCTGCAAATTCATCTAGCTATACGGCTAACAGCTAGCTAAGTTACTGTTTGGACCCAGAATGACGTGACAGTATTTATTTTCTTATGTCTCTTTCATTTAGATAAGCAAAGGATGTCTAATAAAGAAGTGAAAACTGCACTGAAAAGTGCCAGAGAGGCCATTAAAAACAAAGACTTCAAAGAGGCACTAAAACACTGCAAGGTAAAGAAAGTATCTCAGTTGCACAAACTGAAAAGTGAGGCATATGAGGTCGTGGTTTCCCATAAATTTGTGTAAAGAATAAGGCACCGTAATTCTCGAACTGAAATGACGTCTTGCTCTCTTCAATGTGATTTCAGGCCGTTTTGAAGCTTGAGAAGAACAATTATAATGCGTGGGTATTCATCGGGTTGGCAGCCAGTGAACTCGAGCAACCAGACCAGTCACAGTCAGCCTATAAAAAGGCAACCGAGCTGGAGCCTGACCAGCTGCTGGCATGGCAGGTAAGATGGAAATATGTAGTGCTAAGCACTAGCTGGTGTCTCTGTGCATTTCATGTCATCGACTGACAGCAGTTAATTTATTGATAGTGTCTATCCATTGAGCTGAAATTAGAGCAGTGAGATAACGTCTGAGTGCCACTGAAGAGTGGCACAGAACTTTAAAAAACGTCAATTTCACTGAGGTTGTTAGATATTAGGCTACTTATCCCCCAGTGCTCATATATATGATCCATGTCGGTAATAAATTTGTGTTTTAGGGCCTAGCAAATCTTTATGAGAAGACTGATCAGTGGGATTTCAAAGCTGAGCTACCTAACATCTATCAGAAGCTTGTTAATTTGTATGCAAGGTAAGACATGGAGACTTAAAAAAAAAAAATCAGGACATGTTTCTTAAAACTTTATTAACAATTATGATGACTTTGTTGGTAGTTATTTGTGGCTGTAGTTTTTAATAAAATTTTATAGTTTTGCCAAGTTACCTGTATTTTATTTGTGATGATATTAATTTTCACTGTTCTCCATTCACAGTTCAGACAAAAACAAATGTTATGAGGTGATTAAAAAGCTGTCAGATATTTATAAGTCTGACAAAGAATATTTCAAGGTATGCAATTTTAAAGCCATGTGGTCAAGACTATTGAAAAATAAGTGTACTGTTCAGTGTAACTGTTTAGTGCAATCTTTAAAATACAATTGATACCTGCCTGTGTCTGGACAGTTGGCAAAGGTTTGGTTGCAGCTCATTCAGCTTAAGGAGGAAGAACCTGCAGACAAAAAAGAGTTACTGTTGCTGTGGCAACAGATGACCCAGCACATCTCGGACTGTCTTAATGAGGAAGAGCAGGACAATGAAACTCAACAGCATGTAAGATTTCCCAAATTTGAACTCTGTAACACGTTTCTCTTTGTGTATAAACACTGTGTAACACATAAGAATCCATCCATTCGACTAGCCCTATAAGATTACTGTCACAGCTTAAAACAGGTTGCCTTACCTCGTGGAAGTCATAAGGAGCAATTTCTCACACTGACTGACAAATGTAATGATCCTATTAAGTATAATGCTGTTTTTACTGCACACATCTTTATACCATCTGCCTTTTAGTGACAGGTTTTTTTTTTGTTTGTGGTCACCAGTTAATTACAGCCTTTGAAAAGGCCATGGTTCTTGTGGATCCTGTACCAGGGGAGGAACACCAGAAGATCTCAACTGACTATATTAAATGTCTCTCCAAAGTAAGCGCACTTTTTCTGATGTCTGTGTCACAATCACAGAAATTTGGTCACAAGTGAATCTCATACCAGAGTTGTTTAATGATTTACATGTCCACCATGAATCTGCTCTTAATGTAGCTGCCACAAGAAAAAGCCAAACTGAAAGAGGCATGTGAGTCCATGCTTTCTCTCTACCCCAACCAAAGTTATCCTCTTGAAGTCCTTTGTTCTCATTACCTCACAGTAGGTAAGATGCTGTTGTGTTTATTAAATTTAAGTGCATATGTAGTACATATTATTATTATTTTTTTCATGTAAAGCTAATGAATGCCATTCTCAGGCACTGAGGGGGGAATCTCTTCCCTCTCCCCTTATACAAGAGACAGTTTTAAATAGTTCTATTTTCATTTAAGGTATCCTGAATGAAGATGCAGTTAGTTTTTTCTCCCGACTTTTGGATCGGGCCCCTGACAGTGGGTTAGGTCACTTGGGTCTGGGCACCAAAGCACTCCAAGAAGGAAGGTATGAAGATGCGATTAAGGATCTTGCACAAGGTTTGTCTGCACATTGACGTTGAAAGAATTAATTTAATAAATGCCACCTTGACACTTTGTAATGAGACATACATCACTTTTGTGACAACTGCCCATGATCTTTCTCTTCTGTTACATTAGGGTTGAAGAAAAAGTGCTGCAGTACAGGATGGCACAATCTGGCTGAAGCTCAGTTTAAAGTGCACAGATACTCACACAGTGCTACATCATGCTCCCAAGGTATGTTTAGTCTGCTGTGTGTCACAGCATGTGATCAGTGATCCACCTAGTCCACAGCAATATCTCCAACATCATCAAGAGTTCCATTAAAAAGACAATAGAGGGCTTTGTGAACACAACGTGGATTTTGCCCCTTGCTGTTGTCTTGCATGGGGATATGTACATGCACATTGAGAGCCACTGTACCACAGTCAAGTTCCTCATGTCCAACACACCTGGCCAATTAAGCTGATTCTGATTTTAACCAATATCTTCAAAAGGTAGCTCTGTTTAGTTCCTGAAAAAGACATTGAATTACAGTGTGTGTCTTGTTCTGTTAGGTCTGACAGCTTGTGCCTCTGGAGACGGTGAGATGAGGGTCAAACTGCTTAGGCTGAAGCTAGAGACTTTAGTCAGAAGTGGAGGAGAGAAGGCTGCAGACCAAGCTTTGGAGACATTTTCTCAGGTACTGTGTTTAACTAATAATTTGTTTATTCAACAAGCTGTTTGTATAATACTTTTTGAATTTTCTTTTTAGGTAATTGAATATCGGGTAATTCAGCAAGTGAAGGTTTAGATTTATTATGGGTTTGGTATAACAATATTTTGCAGTTGTAACCATGGATATACAGTGGCAAGAAAAAGTATGTGAACCTTTTGGAATTCCATGGTTTTCTTCATTAATTTGTCATAAAATGTGATCTGATCTTCATTTAAGTCAAGAGTATTGACAAATATAACACAAAAAATCTGATCTTTCATGCCATTGTTGAGAACAACAGTAAAAACGTCATAGTGCTAGTGGAAAAAGTATACGAACCCTTGAGTGAATGACCTCAAAAAAAGCATACCTGGAGTCTTGTTAAGAAAATGAGGTGTGGAGCCGAGCTACTGTTACTGATAAAAACCATTCAAACGTTTTGAGTTTGCTTTGCACAAGACGAATACACTTATGTGAGCCATGCCTCACCAAAAAGAGCTTTCAGAGGATCTACATTCAAGAATTGTTGATTTACATAAAGATGGAAAGGGTTACAAAGTCATTTCAAAGACTGTAGAAATTCACCAGTCTACAGTTAGGCAAACGTTCTACAAATGGAGACACACAGTGGCTACTCTACCAAGAAGTGGGCGCCCAGTCAATATGACCCCAAGAGCACAACGAAGACTCATCACTGAGGTAAAGAAACAACTGGCTAACATCTGTGTTCATGAGTCTACAGTACGTAAAACATTGACCAAGCAGGTTGTCTATGGCAGGACACCACGAAGGAAGCTGCTGGTTACTAAAAAGAACATCGCTGCACGCCTGAAGTTTGTCAAAAAGCACATTGCCACTCCACAGCGGTACTGGCAAAATGTTTTTTGGACTGATGAAATTAGGATTGAACTATTTGGAAAGAACACACAGCACCAGTTATTAACTCCAGGGGTTCACTACCATTTTGAATGGTGAATGAGTGTGCTCAATAAAGACATGAAAGATCAGTTTTTTTTGCGTTATTATTTTAGGCACATTATATTTGTCAGTACTCTTGACTTAGATGAAGATCAGATCACATTTTATGACAAATTCATGGAGAAAACCATGAAATTCCAAAAGGTTCACATAGTTTTTCTTGGCACTGTACTTGAATATGTAGTGATCCAGAATGCCAAAGGAAATGTCATGTCTGTGTTTGCTCTTACTCTTTTTTTTGTCTGTTTTTTAGATTCCAGATGCTGAAAAAGACCCAATTTTAGTATCCCTTAAAGGACGTGCATACCTTAACAAAGGACAGATTGAAGAAGCACTTAAGGTTGAAAATGATTTACTCTCTGAATTCTGTCTATAAAAATGTAGGCGTTTTATGATAAATTAGGAAACAGTGTATATCGGCAAATAAATAATACAAAACATATACAACTTATGATATGATTACTGGGCAAGAGGAATATGTGTCACATTAGATCAATGATGGATTGGTGCAAATGAAACTTCTATGGCTTTTAAAGGTGTCATCAGAGCTGTTGATCTCCAACCCAAATCTGGCCCAGGCGCTGGTACTGAGGGGACAGGCACACTTAGTTCAAGGCCAACAGCAGCTGGCAGAACAGAGGTAAAGACTGTAGTGTTTCCCACAGATGGACTTTACTTGGGTGGGCGGTCCAGGTATCTTAGCAGCTCCCTAAGTATATTTGGTCACCCATTTTTACTATAATAATTTTGTTATAATAATTTTCATGCCAATCATTGATTTAACTACAGACCAGTTTCCTCTCACTGTTTCATCTACACACAGAGCATTGATTTGTTCCACCGCTCCTGATACAAAATGATAAATTTCTTGACATTTAACTTTCTTCTCCTGCTCTTCCACTGTGTAGTTTTCTAAAGGCAGCTAGCCAGAGCCCAGGCTGTGGAGAATATTATTTCTTGCTGGGACGGCTCTACTGGGACATGGGAGAAGAGACTCGTAAAGACCGGGGTAAAGCCCATACACACCTATTAAAGGTTAGTACAGGTATTTTGTTTTTTACATTTTTTATTAGAAGGAGATTTGCATTTCACAACATGATGTGAAAACAATTAAAATCTTTGCCTTATTTAATCTCTAAAATGTTGATGTTCCAGTCTATGAAAGATGAATGCTGAAGGACCACAAATACATTTTAACATTTAGAAAGCTTCATTTGTCCATTTAAAGGCAGCAAAATTAGACCCACATCTTGGCTGTGTATTTCGCTACCTTGGGCATTATTACCGGGAGGTGGCAAATGATCGTGGCCGTGCACGTGGCTGCTATAAGAAGGCCTTTGAGTTGGACAATGATGATGCAGAGTCTGGAGCTGCCTCGGTAGATCTCAGTATGGAGCAAGAGGATATGGTGAGGGGCCTCAGTAAAAAGCAACAATATTCAGAGCCATCAGGTGTGTTGTTGGCATTTTATTAACGGTATTTCCCTTTTTTTACCTTAACCCTCTCCATGCTCACCTTCTCCCCTTCTTCCCTTTCTATACCCCCTTTTCCTCTTCCTTAAATGCCATAGGACACTGCCTTAGCAATACTTCAGTCTGTGATAGTTAAAGCTACTCCAGGCTCAGCCAAATGGGCCTGGATGAGAAGAGGCCTTTATTACCTGAAGATCGGAGCACATCAACAGGCCATAGCTGAGTAAGAATTTTTAAATCTGAGGCAGCTAAATGAATGACTGTGCCCCTAATGTTTTAAGCATAGGAGCATTATTGATACTTTATGTTTATAGTCTACAAGCAGCTCTGAGAGCAGACCCCGAAGACTGGGTGTGTTGGGAGTGTTTAGGTGAGGCCTACCTAAATCGCCGGAGTTTCACAGCAGCTCTAAAGGCCTTTGGTAAGGCCCATCAGCTTCAACCCTCATCCATCTACAGTGTCTACCAGGCTGCTGCAATCAAACAGACCCTGGGCAAATTCAAAGAGGCAGTTGCAGAGTACATGCAGATAACGGCACAGCAGGACTATGTTCCTGCTCTTAAAGGTAGGTGCTTGTTTCATTATATCCTGAATACTTGCATTTTGTATAATGTTATGCTTCTTATTGCACATCTCTGGTCAGTCATTTGCCTAAATCTGGACAGTTTGATTTGATAATTGTTGGAAAAATGATTGGAAATAAGTTTACCGAGGGGCAGTAAACACCCGGAGACCCATAGTGAAATTATTATGCGTCTTGTACAATATGTATCGTCTGTTGTTCAGGTCTTGGGGAGTGCCAGCTGTCTCTGGCAAAAAGTTTAATGGAGGACTGCAGAGATGGAGGAGCAATTGACCTCATTCAGCAAGCCATACAAAATCTATTCAGGTAATGACCAGGCATGTCTTCATATACTTGAAGATCTTAATATTAAATAGTGCTTTGCTTACATGAGACATCACAGTACCATGCAGATACTGTATTACCCATTTCATCCATTGGTCCTTCACATTTCTGTGCTCTTCAGAGCGGTGGAACTGCACCCAGATCTGTCCTGTTTGTGGAAGCTGCTAGGAGATGCTTGTACCACAGTTAGCACTGTGTCATCAAACAGAGCCAAGGTTCTTGTGCCTGCCCCACTCTCTGGTTTAGACCACAACGTCAGGAGCCACATTCTGAACCAGGCCCAGATACTCAAAGTTGGAGAGAGGTATGACCCCAAATAGGCACAGACCTTCTAAATGGCCTATACAGTTGCTACACTGTCAAATCATTTATTTATAGCATCTGTGCTTTGACACAAACAGTTAACATTGTGTCACTTTAATGGAATAGTGTTTGCCAAGTATGAAGTCTAAACACTGAACATTAAGAGCATATTTTTATCTGCAGATGCTATGCTCATGCATTGAAGTTGATGCCTGACATCCCCAGCCTTTGGTATGATCTGGGACTCAACTATCACCGCCAGGCTTGCCTACCTTGCCCTACAGAGGGAGACCAGAGCTCTCGGTCTCTGCTCCTAGAAAAGGCCCAGCAGGTAATTCACTGAATTCTACATAACAGTTTAGCATTATTTGCTCTCAGAGCTGGTCCTTGAGAGTTCCTTTCTATTCTCAGTGTTTGAAAAAGGCTATCATGATGGACAGTGGGAACCACAGCTACTGGAACACCCTGGGAGTGGTTTCCCTGAACAAAGGTAACGGCATGCGTCCTCACTCCTATAAATAATAGTGTTCTACCCCAGCTGGTCGACATTGTTTGGTCATTGTGTCGGAAATATTGCAAAACATATTTAACCCATTAATAGTTCGCTACTCAAAAATGCTATTTGCTCTGACTAGATTCTGTAAATGTTTGCAGCTTTTAAATAGTTATTACTTTGAGCTCATATATTAAAATGTTTTAGTTTAAAATGAAAATGTTTACCAAATGTATTTTCTTTTATGCCCTTAGAAATTAAATGATTCAAACCCACTGTCATAATACAAAGGACTACAGTATGTGGAGGGCAATATGTGTTATTAAATAGCACCAAATTATTTGGTTTTCACAATTTATTTATATCTTCAGTTAGAACAGTGAGTGCAGCAGCCCAGTTCATCCACTGTAGCAGTAGTTTGCCTATGTGCTGTAGTGCACAGTAAACTGTCACTATTATTCTGTCATTTCAGGTCTTGAAAACTTTGCTCTGGCTCAACATAGCTTCATCAAGTCAATACAAGTTGAGCCAAATGTATGTGCAGTACATCACATTTGTTCTCATGATACATACCATTACCAGAAAATAAAGTATGTATTTGACTTTTTAATATTTTATTACAGAATGTTGTTGCCTGGACAAACCTTGGTACCCTGTATTTGAAAAAGGGCAATATAGAGGTATGTGTGATGTATAGTCTTTTATCTTTATGATGGCTGGCTGACATTTTTATTGTTAAAGTCTGGGCTTAATTGTTTTAGCTTGCACATGAAGCCTTCAAGATTGCCCAGTCCTTGGAGCCTCTGTATGTCAACTGCTGGATCGGACAGGTAGTGAATCTCAAAACAGCTTTTCCTAACAAAGAATTATGACCCAAAGTTTTAAAGGTAATGAGCATTTGACAATAATTCATTGTGGCCAGGCATAAAGGCTTCCTTACTGTATGCATCCTGTATATACTGTGTACTATAAATGCATACACTTACGATACAGCATCAGTCAAAAATGATAGCGTTGCTAACAAGGAAAGGTAAAATAATTCCTTAGGCTGTTTTGCAGTGGTAAAGAATGTGAAAGAAATGAATGCTTAGTGAGATGCCCCATAAGATTTGATTAAACTGGTAGTAATAGCATGTCAGTGTGATAGTATTCATAAGACTTAATCAATTTCTGTCTTTGACCTCTTTGTCTTTATCTGTCTAAATTATAATTGTATCCCTTTGTCTTCCTGTCAGGCACTGATAGCAGAGAGAGTGGGAAGCTATGACACTATGGATCTTTTCAGGCACACCACTGAACTCAGTACACACGTGTGTGATCTCCCAAACCTACTCATTAGCTAGATTATGACAGTTTAATCTTTAGAACTGAAAATTTAGTGCAGTGAACTGTTTGCTACTACTTGTAAGTAAATGGTCATGATAGCATGATGAAAGAAAAACATTTTTTTTCTCCTTTGTTTTAACGTTTCTCACTCATCTTTCCCTGGTAGATGGAGGGAGTGAAAGGTTACGCTTACTGGGTGTGTTCCACTCTGCTGGATAAGAGCAACAGAGATTCTGAACTGTATCGCTACAATATAGTGCAGATGAATGCCATCTCTGCTGCTCAGGTGGCACTCAGCAAGTACACAGGTATACCATCTAAAGTGTGAATCCACAAGTCTTTTGGTTGTATTTTGGTCTTATGTTAGAAATGAACATTGTGTGACGTGAAGTTTCTTTTGCATTCCTCTCAGAGAGGATCCAGTCTGACCCTGATGCCTTCATTATGCTGGGCTACCTGAATGAGCATCTGCAGCTGAAGAGGCAGGCCGTACAGGCTTACCAAAGGTGTCTGTCTGAATTACCCTGACTGACTCCGCAGGCTCACAGATGAGGCCGTTTACCAAAAAAAGAACAAGAGACAAGATGCTGTACCTCTGTTGCATTTGTTTACAATTCACCTTTCTCAATCTTAACTCTCTTTCCTTAGAGCTGTTGAACTGCTTCAGGCCATGTCCGCGACAGAAGTTCTAGAATTTGCTGTAGGCTGCTATGGTCGTGCTTTATGGTAACAACCAGCTGTCTCATCATCAAGTACTTTAACCATTTTAACAATACTTGCCAAATACCCCAAGCTCCATTCTTTGTGTCCCATTGTGTTTTTTGCAGCACCTCAGGCCAGTGGGAGGAGGCTGTGCGTGTTTATAATTCTACTTCACTGCAGGAGCTCAGTGATTTGGGTGGGCTGGCTCTGGCATACTGCAGGGCAGGACTCATCCTGGACTGCATCAATGGTGAGGAGTGGGCAACCCAAAGAAATCAGCGGTTGTATATGTGTTTACATGCCAGAGTGGCTGTGACTTAACAGTTGTGTGTGTACTGTAGCCTATGAACGTGCCTTGGCGGTGGCTTCGACTGAGAAGGAGAAGGCTTACATCTTGACAGCTCTGGCTCTGCTGCAGCACCGGCAAGGCAACCTAGACTCAGCCAAGACTCTGCTGTTTAAATGGTGAGGCCTCTGTGTTGTCTTGGCTGTACCAGTGGCTTTGTATGATTTTGTTATTGTCCACTAACTAAAAATACTGTACACAGGTTGATCCAATGAGTGTTTCCCTGATGTTTTGTTCAGTTATTTATCTTTCTGTCTCCACAGCTCTGTGTTAAATAACCCAGTTCCAGAGTCTCTGCTGTGTCTGTGTGCCCTGGGATTGGTCCATGGTGATGTTACGTTAGCTGCTGCTGCCCTAACTGAGCTTCTGAAGCACAGCTCAGCCTCTGTGAGTGTTGTAGAGCAGCGATGTCTACTCACCTGCACGTTGCTGGCCCTGCAGGGCAACTACAGTGCAGTGCAGAGAGAGGCTTCCAGAGCTGTACACAGGTAAACTGCTTGTTGTAATTGTTTAGAGTACCCTGGTGATGTTGTGTACTCTGTAAAGATAGGAGAATGATAAGTGTGTATTATGATATGTATGCATAAGAGCATATCCCAGCTGATGGTGGGCAAGAGATGGGGACAGTGGGCGAGAGACCACAGGTCACCAGTCTGTTACAGGGCACACACATGCAATCAACCAGTCACATTCACACCTTCAGGCAATTTAGAGTCAGCAGACAACCTAACCTGTGTATGTTTGGAGTGTGGGAGGAAGCTGGAGTACCTATAGAAAACCCACAAAAGCATGAGGAGAATATGCAAAACCTACACAGAAAGGCCCTGGTCAGCAATGAGGTTTGAGCCTGGAACCATCTTGGTATGAGGCAGCAGTGCTAACCACTACACCACTGTGCCATTTGGAATAGTAATTATGTGGTTGAAAATTAACAGACTTAACAGTACATTCTGTCAAAATCTCAGTAACAGGTGGCTAAAAGGTGACCACGAGTATGCAGGTATGGTTAGGTTCTTTGTTTTGTTTTTCTGCACATTGGAATGCTTCTTTTCTGCCTCCTTGGAGAGATTGGAACATTAAACATTATCTAGATACTTTCTTTTGTTTCCTGCAGTTAATTCGAATCCACACACGTACTGTCAAGTATAGACAGGTGACAAAGGCCACCATGTGCCTCCAGAACAGCTTCAGTGCTCCTTGACATTGACTCTCTAGGTTTCTGGGCTCTACTGGAGGGATGAACACATTCTTCCAAAAAATATTCCCTCATTTGGTGTTTTTTGATGATGGTGGTCGAACCACAGTCACATTGGTCCAAAATCTCCCACAGGTGTTCAGTTGGGTTGAGACCTGGTGACTCTGAAGGCCATGGCATTAAGATTCACATCATTTTCATACTCCTCAAACCAGTCAGTGACCCCTGGTGCCCTGTGGATTGGGGACACTGTCATCCTGGAAGAGACCACTCTCATCAGGAGAGAAATGTTTTATCATTTGCTGGCAAAATGCCCCCCCCCCACTGATGGAGCGCATTGAGCACTGCACTGAGAGCATCGTTTATTGGTTTATCCTTTTATCTGTCATCTGTGCGTGTCAACAGGTATAACGGTGTATTAGGTAGTGTAGCAACATTTCATATACATAATATTTCTGAGAACAGGTTTATGGTGAAAGCCTATAAGCTCCAAATTCTACACAGCCTTCTGGATTACTTTTCTGTCTTGTTTACAGCAATCCTGGAAACCCATCTCTGTGGGCCCTGCTGTCCAGAGTGGTACCGCAATACTACCCTAGAAAGGCAAATGTAAGACTGTATACAAACAAAAACATGTAACATGTCCCAATGTAACATTATACCAAGCAGCCCCTTTCTTGCTCTAGCGCTGCTGGACAGTAGCTCTAGTGGTTTGGCTCATGGTTTTGTCTGCTGTTTATTCCAGGGTGGAGCAATGGCTGGCCATGTCGCCTGTCTCTCTAGTATGACCCAAGGAAAGGTACATTAGTGACTGTGTATTTGTGTTGAAGTGGCTTTGTGTGCACATTTTTTAAACTCGCTGCATTATAAATTAAACTTATCTTTTTACAATGTAAACTCATCAGCAACTTTTTCTGATTTAGAGTTGTACAATTTAGGTTAAAGTACTACAGTTTGTATATGAAACTGACTTGATCTATCTTGTGTACCTGCAGAGGGCATTGTTGTACAGTGGTGTGAATCAGCTTGCTAGTGGGAGACACTCTGGAGAAGACAGTCACAGAAATTCACTGAAGACTATGCAGAGAGCTGTGCTGCTCTGTCCTGGTATAAACACACACACCTCACATTAAGCCACACACTTTTCACTGGACTGTAAAGTGGAAAATAGATGTCTTGGAAATAAATCAGTCTTAACATATCCCTTATGCATACAGTAAATTCAGAGTTTGTGGCACAGATAAACTTGTTTGTTTCTTCCTATCAGATAAGTGTAAAGCAGTCTCCACTCCTCTCTATACTTTCAGATGATCCGGCGACTTGGGCTGGATTAATGGCTGCCTGTCACACTGAAAACACTTCCTGTTATCTTTCTGGTTCAGCTCCTTGCAGACAAAGACTGGAGCAAATTCTCATGTCAGTGGTTTCTGAGAAAGGTGTGTTCCCTGGTGTGTGTTTTTACTGTGTTTGCTTTTGTGTGTTTGTTTGCATGTATAATTAACCCCTTTCTGTTTTCTAGTGCGCAGTATGGAGGAGATAGAGCACTCTTTAGCCCAGAGTCTGGAAACCTGGGTATTACAACAGGCAGTGACTGGTCTCATGCTTGAAGGGCAGCTGGAGCAAGCAGAAGCCCTCTGCACACAGGTGGGATATGAATACACTAACACACATCCTTAGCTTTATTTTCTGGTTTACCCTAATGTAGAAAGGCTTAGGATTGTTTTAGAAATAGCATAAGTAATTTAAGTTACATTCAGATTTATCTCATGACTGGCCTTTTTCTTTCATTGATTTGTTCCCTTATTCTGCCTGCCTTGTCCCAGGTACTGAATGTTTCTGCAGATAACCCAGCAGTGATGCTGTCACTGAGACAAGTGCAGTGTCAGCGCCTCCTTTTGGCCAGTGGTGGCACCATCCTCCCAGACTCTGTGCTGGAGCAGCTCAACAACACAGTGTTAATGAACTCCACCAACATTGGCGCATGGCATGTAGGTAAACTGTTAGGCAGTGAATTTTATGGCAGTGAAATCTCACAAGCTATTGCTCTTTGTGTGTCAGGCCCCTTCTCGTAAAAACGATACTCAGGAACTCCTCAAGGGAATTCCTTCAAATTAGGCATTAACGTCCACTTGGACTCAAAGATGAACAGAATAGATTTTGGGTGTTAATCAGTCAAAGATCAAGGTCACAGTGACCTCATGTCCATCTGGCTCATTCTCATAACTGTGATATCTCAGAGCCACCTTGTGGGAATTTTTCTAAACTTGGCACAAATGTCCACTTGGATTCAGTGATAACCTGATTAGATTATGGTGGTCAAAGGTCAAGGTCACATAATCTCATGAAGCCATAAGTTTTTTTTTTTAATTTATTTTTTTACTTATAATATTTCATTATGGCTCTCTCAATCTCTTTGCTTGCTTCTCATCTCTTATACCCTCTCCCTTCTGTCCTCCTCCCATTACTCCCGCTCATCCTTGCCCTTCCCATCACTCTTCTACTCTTGTTATGTCAGTGGCTGGCTGAGCTTTATCGTAGTCAGGGTCTCCTGGTCCAGGCGGTTATGGCTTATAGACAGAGTTTGCAGCTTGCCTCACAACTTGGCCGGCACAGCAGCCAGATGTCCAGTCTACTCCGACTAGCCCTGCTCGCCCTAGGACCCTGTATGGTGAGTTCCTGCATAGGCTATAACATGAATCCAGATCCAAAATATTCCCAATTTTAGGTGATAAAGTGCAGCTATTGTAAACAGTGATCATAGGTATTTTCCTACTGTGGCCACAAATAATTTCACATTATAAATGTAATGATAGTGCAAACTAGAAGTTAAAATAATCACATTTTAAGGGTGGTAGCACTTAGTTTTGCCCCAGGAGGAATGTTTTAGTAGTGAGGTCTAGTAATGTTAAGCAAAAGGGTACATATTACCACACACAGACAGAAGACCAGAGGCAACTGTGCACATGTTCCTGCAGTCTCATGCCCTTTTATGGGCCATGTTGGGGTATTAACCTATGCTATTTAGGAACGAATGGACAGGTGAGAACAATTCTGCGGTTTAAGAACATGTTCATGAATCAGATGTGGATTTTTCTTAGGAACTTTCTTAACAACCTACAAAGAAATTATAAAAAAATAGTTAGGAAGGTGTTGGTGAATGAAACCCATTGTTGGCACACAATACGGTTAAAAGCATACGTTTAGTAGATAGTGTAAAATTTTATTTTGTGTTCTCTCTGCTAGGTTTATTCTTAATCCAGTGTGATCTGACCTCTCAGGCAGGTGTACCAGGAAATGACTGGAAGAACCTGGTTCAAGAAGCCACTACTGAGGTTTTGAAGCTGGGCTCATCCCCAGTAGCCCATCTCTTCCAGGCCCTGCTCCAGTATGTGACCAAGATGGCAGCTAGGTCAGTGCTGCCCATGGTGTTCTGTTTCCCTTGCTTCAGGCAGTATGCAAATGCACATGCAAACTGCAGGTGCATCTGTGTTGCCGTGTCAGAATGCAGATTATTCTACCACAGTGACAATGTGTAATATATAATCTCAAATGATCAAATGAATTGTGGGATTTGTCATTTTTATTCCTCCATATGTTTTTTTCAAGTTGTTGGTACTTTTGGAGAGCAATTAAAACTGCCTTCTGTCACTACCTGACAGACCTGCCAGGATGATTCATTAGTGCTTCATTCATCAGAGGCTGAAGAGAACGCATGCCAGTTATGAATTGGCTGGAACTCTTCTTTGCCAAGCATCATCACAATATCAAAAACCCTTTAATGCCAAAGACAACTTTTACTTTATTGTACAGCATATACTGGAAAATCCTGATGGAAAAACAGACAGTTATCAACTCAGTAAACATATTATACCTTTGCCCATTTCTGTACCTATCCCCTGCAGGGAAACAAGACGTTTGTTGGAGAAGCTCGTGTATGTTCCCTCTCTAGACGTCCCAGTGACAGTGGTGCAGGTGGCCAGCTGGTACCTCCTCAGACACTTGCATGCCAAAAATGATGAGGAGCTAATAAATGTGAGCACACCGTTGCCTCATACCTACACTGGCACCTGACTGAAATATTTTTGTGATTATATATAACCATTTCTTTTCAACCATGCTGTGGAAACAGCAATAGCATACAGAGAGTGAAAGTGGTCACACCAAATGTTCTTACGTCTATACTGGTTGTTGACTTGGAAAATGAATGTATTTTTTCATCTTTTTTTGCAGGTCCTTTTGCAGCATGCCAAAATGAATGGAGATCAAAGACTGCTGGAGTTCCATTCACTGCTTGCCTCTTAATCCTGAGATTTGCAAATCTACAAATGCATCCGTATGAAACCATTCAGCTTGGCAGGTTTATCCACAACCTCAAGTTACTGGCGATTCAGGCATTCTGGATATTTTAACCAAATGTAAAATCAAATTGAGCTTTATGGGATATCATAAATATGACATTTATTAACTTTACATACATTTTCGGTTTTACGTTATAAAACAGGGGTTTTCAACCAGTGTTTTGTGGCCCCCTGGTGGTCAATGAAGGCGTAGCAGGTGGTCCCTGACCATGTATTCAGTAATGTTGTTTCACTGTGGACACAAATTTATCTTTTAAAACTAATTTCTGTGTATTATTGCTGTTTGCGAGTAATCAAACTATGCAAATATATAATATTTTGAAAAGTCAAGATGCTTTTCAGTATTAGTGTCCATCTGGTCTGGCCACCCCACAGCAATGGTCCTCAAGTTTTTTCTTAATTGAAATGGTGGCCTCTGGGATACAATCAGTAGAAACCCCCTGTTATGAAGTGTTGAGGAAATCAGATCCATCCAAAACAAACTCATGAGTATAACTGCATATTTCAGTGTGTGTTACATAAGGTAGCCACTGTTTACCTTCAGGCTGAAATAAATGCATTTATAATCAGTATATGAAAAATTGTGTTGTCATTTTGATTGGACAAAATTTTAATGTAACCTTAAAGGATGTGCTAAAACATAAAGAGTATAAAATTCTAGGCTGAAAACTAAACAAGAGTACATGGACAACCTTGCGGTGCTTTTAGGTTTAGAATTAAATTAAATGTATTCCATTATTTCCATCAGCAGACCCTCAGTTCATAGAAAAGTGACTTTGTAGACATACAGAGATCCTCGAGACTTTAATATGGAACAACTAACATGCTACATCAGTTACAGTTGCTCATTTTTGGAAGAAAAAGAAATTAATTCTGAGGAAGAAAAATGGCAAAACCCCAAGTCTCATCTAAAATTACGGATGTCCGCTGTCAGACAGAAAAAAGTCATTTTGATTGCACATAATCGTAACGCATGCTGATCAGAGAATATACAACTAGTGAAGTAGACATAAGAAATGGACACCATAGTAAACTTTATGGTTTACTTGCTGGTATCAATTTACTTCCAGAGATGAAAACCTGTTGTCCTGTTTTCAAAGAATGATTGCACCTTGAGTTTTACATTTCAGCTTTAGTTTTCCCTCGACTGCACCAAGAGCTTTGTCTCTCACAGCAGTGCTGTTTTTCAGGCCCACATTCCCACTCAGACACCAGCTCTACAGACATGTTTGGTCATGAGAGTGCATATGTTTTGCTGACAGCCCCAGCACTGTTGAGTGATGTGTGGAGAATCCTGCTGGATCTTTCTCTTGCATAGTGAACACACATCCACAGCATCAACCCTATCTGCTGTGCCAGGTGTGTTTACACTGTCAGCTACAAGCTGCTGAAGCTCTGTCAGTACAGTGTCTGGTGCTTTTGCAATTCCCACGACCTTCACTCTTTTGGGGTCAAATACACAGTCCTCCTCTAGACCGCTGGGCACAGCTTTCATGCCACAGTTGGGGGGCACCCAGGCAGTGTCATAGCCCTGTGTGCTCCAGGTGTACTGCATGGGATGATTGTCCTTGTCAATGCGCTTAACACGGCCTACACGTACATGTAACTCAAGGACCACACGGTCTGTAATGTTCAATGGGTAACGCTCAGCCTTTCTCTTATCACGACTGACATACACACCCTTTCCCAACATGCCACCTGATGACTGTTGAAAGCCATTGGTAATGATGAGCCGTGCATTGGCAATACTAGTGCCATGATACATGATGTAGGTGTTTTGGTCTTTGGGCGCCTGAGAGGCCCCCAGCTCCACACGAGGAGAGTCATAGGTCACTTCCCATCCAAAGAACTGCAGTGACATCCTGCTTCAGTAAGGGATGCTGTGAACAGTGAATACAAAATTGGAACAATGTTATTACAGATTCAAGAGTAGTTGAGTGACAAAAATAACTGAATGTAGCTTTAATCCCTCCATGGATATGGTGTCATGACATTTAGAGTTGGACCAAATTGTGGCCCATCAGATTCTGAGACCAGTTATGAATTTTAACTGTACTGCCACTGTAATTATAACATTATATATTTTGAGTTGTGACCAAAAAGAGTGCCCTTATATAATATTTAGATACATGGTCATAGTTTTTGAAACTAGTTAAAAAAAAAATCAATGTTCTTTGACCCCACTAATACAGATTGTCACCTGTCAGTCCCTTCTCTTTGGTCTGTAGTGTAGTTCATTCAGCATCACAAAAGGGTCAGAGATTTCAATATACAAGACTGTAAAATAGTGCAACCTATAGGGGTTTGTGTTACTTGTTTGGTAAAAGCTACAAAAACAAAGTAGGTAATGAAAAATTGCAGTGACGAGCTGAAATCTGTAATTAGGTCACAGAATTTGGTTTAACAACAGCTCAGCTACATGTGTGGTTTTAATTTACCTAGTCTACTGTATATGATGTCAGTGTGATTAGGCTACTTTGTTACAAGTTAAAAAATAAGTCCTGCATTCAAAATGTTACTTGAGTAAATGTACAAAAGAATTAGCACAACAATATAGTCCTACTAAAAATCTTTAAAATAAAAGTAGTCATTGTTTAGTCTCTAGCATTAGTGAATTATAATAATTAATTCAGTACTCTGTAACTAGTTTTAACTAGCTTATGTGCTTACAATTTGTATTGCTGCTGTGTAGCTTGTGAATTCTCCCAACCGGGAAATGTTATTTGTATTCATCTTATTCTGAAAAGTAACAAATGGGCCTAACTAAAGTTATACAATAAATGTAGTGTAGCAAAAAGTAGCCTAGAATATCGGTTTCTAAATTGTTAATAGTATGAAGCAGCACAAAATGAAAATACTAAAATAAATACAGATACCTCAAAATTGTAGATACTTAGAGTACTTCAGTAAATGCACTAAGACACACAGTCGTGGAAAAGGCACAGTATCGCCAACATGTACTAATGCTAATGTCAGTTTTATTCACTGAAAAACAACAAAGTTCTTAAACTGACTTTGTTATATTGTAATGGAAGACATACAGTAGTGGAGTCGCTTTCACCTTTGTTACCATAACGTTAAATGAGCAATCGACTGACTAATTAATTAATATACCTTTAGTACTGGTTATTCTTTATAAATACGTAATGTTATGTATTTTGAGGGTAGGATAACCATATTAATTTAGGTTGATAAGCCTTACCGTAAGCGAAGAGTCGTGTTCTGCCTGTAAACCCGGTAGCTTTCACTTTCCTTTCGGCAAAAAGGTTGGTCACCTGTCAGATGACCTGTATATAATTACATTTAATGTGACCTGTCATTCATCTGTGGCCGGTTAGCTCAGTTGGTTAGAGCGTGGTGCTAATAACGCCAAGGTCGCGGGTTCGATCCCCGTACGGGCCACTTCGCTTTTTTGGCAACTCCTAAACTTATAAGTTGTATAGTTATCGCCCTTCAAAAATAAGTACAAATTCACATCATTACATATTCACTACAGCTCATTTAGACTACCATGTAGCATTTACTATGCTGTATGAATTATAACAAAACTAGTTTACTAAACTGTCAAGAACCACAGCTTGCCCAGGGCCATCAAAAGCCACATGTTCACTATATGCTGCAATTGGTGTGGTGATGGGCTCAATTTTAACTTTGTTTGGGAATGTCTACTACTGTCTAGTGCAATACCCATATCTACTAACATGATAAAGTTGGTCATTTCTTATCTCAAATTATGTTTTGTTTAAATGGTACATATTCCTCATATTCCTAAATTAAGTTATGCATGTTTACATTACCATACAGCAAAGGGCCCAGCAGAGGGATACTGTAACCCCATAAAGCACAGAGAGACAGGGAGGGTTCAGGTTGTATCAAGAAGTTGGTTCTGCCTTGGGCACTCCCTAGCGAGTTAATCACATTACAGGGATGATGTGGTGAGCAAGGTGCTGACAACAAATTACTGAAACTACTCAAATTTAAAATATGTCTGCTGCTTAGTTTCTGCCACACTGTTTGATAATGAATATATACTCTTATATTTTTTTGCATGTTCTTTAGAACCTGCCAACACTGCTAAATGAGATTTTCTGTCTTTCCTAGATATGGGTCTTTATCAAACTAGATAAGCTCAGATATTGATATTTATTGGCTGTAGTTATTTTATACTATGTAATATTCAGTTAACTTAAAGCACATCACTAAATTAAAGCCACAGATGTTATCACATCATTCAAATGTCTCATATAAAATAAGAAAAAAAGTCATTTTGCTTTATATTTAGTGTCTCATTTAACACTGCTAAATGAGATTTTCTGTCTTTCCTAGATATGGGTCTTTATCAAACTAGATAAGCTCAGATATTGATATTTATTGGCTGTAGTTATTTTATACTATGTAATATTCAGTTAACTTAAAGCACATCACTAAATTAAAGCCACAGATGTTATCACATCATTCAAATGTCTCATATAAAATAACTGATGTCCACTGTCAATAATATATTTTGCTTTATATTTAGTGTCTCATTTTGATTGCACATAATCATAATGCATGCTGGTCAGAGAATATAAAACTAGTGAAGCAGACAAGAAAGGGACACTTTAATAAACTTTATGATTTACTATAGGCTGGTATCAATTCATTTCCAGAGATGTTCCTGTTGAGCAGCAACTGTTTGAACACAGTCTTGATCACAGTCTGAGCTGAGAATTTTTAGGTTAATCTATGTAATTGTAGTTTTCCCTCCACCCCACTTCCAGCACATGCAAAACCCATACAAATGTGGACAGTCTTCCTTTTTTCAAGCTTACTTCTTCTCTCATCTCATCAGGGTTTAAGATGAACAAAAATGTTTAGACATGAGAATGCAGATGGTTTTCCCACACTCCCAGCACTGTTGCTTGACGTGTTGAGAACCCTTCTGGGTCTTTCTCTTACACAGCGAGCACACATCCACAGCAGCACCACCTCCACTACCGGAACGTTTTGCCAGAAGCTGTTTAAGCTCTGCCTCTATGGTGGCATTCGGTGCTTTTGCAATGCCCACGACCTTCACTCTTTTGGGGTCAAACACACAGTCTTCCTCTAGGCCGCTGGGCACAGATTTCATGCCACAGTTGGGGGGCACCCAGGCAGTGTCATAGCCATTCATTTTCCAGTTGAACTGCATCGGATGGTTGTCCTTGTCAATACGTTTGACACGGCCAACACGCACACATAACTCAAAGACCACACGGTCTGAATGGTTACTGTTCAACGGATAATTAGACGCCTTTTTCTTATCACGACTGACATACACTCCCTGCCCTAGCATGCCCTTCGATGACTGTTTAAAGCCACTGGCAATGATGAGTCGTGCACTGGCAACACTGGTCCCATGGTACATGGTGTAAACACCCCGGTTTTGAGGTTTCTGTGCTGGTCCCAGCTCCACCCCAGGAAAAGAAGCACCATCGTCGACCACTTCCCAGCCAGAGAACTGCACTGACATCCTGATTCAAAAATGTGGCTGTAAAAGGATGTTGTTCAAGTCCTGTAAAGAAATGTAGCTCTGTGAGAAATTAAAACATTAATGTGATTATAGCAGATTTCAGAGCAAACATGTTGTAACTTTAACTTAACAGAGGCGAATAAAAGCCATGGAGCCTACTGGTTAGTCTATAGGCCTAGACTAATGGTTCTCAAAAATATTCTGTCAACCACCATTCACTCACTAAAACCAGGCTGCATTGATCTTAAACAATGCTATCTATGATGAACTGCATTTATCTTTTGTGGTTATTTCTCATTAGATCTGGTTGCCCAATATAAAATGCAAGTAGTTTACCCAAACTACCAAATCCCAGACCACTAACAATCTTATCTTGCACTGTAATTTTTATTTGATTTAATCTGTTCTCTTCTATTTCAACTTCCTTTTTTACATTCAAACTTATTCTAATCGTCCAAAACCATATTTTTATGCAGTTTTTTTTCTTTTACAACTTTTACATTGTATTTATTAATTGCCTTGTTTTTGTTGCTTCCACATATTTTGGCTTTTGAGTTACAGTTTAGCTCAGATATGTTGGCTTCCTTGTCAGTGACCAATACAAGCTATGTAACGAAAGTTTATTTATATAGTACATTTTCATACAAAAAGTCAGTTCAAAGTGCTACACATGAATCTTGTAAATGCTGTGAACCACTGGCCTAGATGATAACTAACATAACCATATTTGTAGTGAGAAAAGGTTTTTAAAGTTAAAAGAGTTCATCTTTACCGTCAGCGATAGGTTCCCCGGCATATAAAGCTTTCACTTTCTGTTCAGTTTCAATCCCAGTTTTGATGACATCAGAGCAATATTATAGTGTGGCCGGTTAGCTCAGTTGGTTAGAGCGTGGTGCTAATAACGCCAAGGTCGCGGGTTCGATCCCCGTACGGGCCACTTTACTTGTTTTGGGATTACCACGTTTGTTTGTGATATACTACTAACCTATCCACCAAATAACGTCAGTCAGTGTTGCCTAGTATTCAACGAACATTAACTGTGGTAAAATCCCACTTTGAACTTGTCTTGGAATTAGTTTTGTTTCTCTTGAAATATGCCGAGACCAACGGTTTATTTATTTTACGTTTTTACAGAAAACAGCAACATTCTGTCCATCGTCCTTTCATATACACAAACCAAAACACCTTTGACCAAATTACACTGCAGACAGGCCTATATCCTAGTGCGCTTGAAGACTGTAATAGTGACAAGATAGGGTATACTCTGAAATGAAGTGATATAGATTCAGCTGTTAAATAGGCCTAGTTGAGAAATACAATAATTTTACACACTACGGCCCTAACTTAACAAATTCTTTGAAACACTGAAACTAGTGCTGCCTGATCTTAAAATTGGGGCTGTTTCACTTTGTTGCTAAAAATAAACATTTAATTCATTGTACATAATTAAACTGTCATTTATTAAAAATAGAATTTATTAATAGTATTACAGTCTCATCTCGACTTTTAAAGTGTAAGATGTAACAAGACAAATCACAGTGGCATCTTTAAAGGAGAAAAATTCTCTTACTTTCTTAAAATGCACAAAGGTAGCCATGCATCATTGACAATGATAATTATAAATTCTTTTTTAATCATTTCACAAAAGGCTTCAAATTGCAAGATAATTTCTCTGATGATTAAAGAGGGATTATATCACATATAGTCTCATTCTGAATAGCTGTGGGGTCCTAGAATAAGATAGGAATAAAGCTAGTGAGGAAACAATCATCACTTTCACTCGCAGTAGGTCTTTCAGTTTAAAAAGCTTTTGACTCAAGTAATTCCTTCAGGATAGGTGCAACATTAAACAGTTGCATCTCTTGAGTTGATAATGTCACAGGTCACCGAGCTCTGCCACTTTGCTGCAGATGTGCCTGATATCCTTCTGAAGCTTCTCCTTGTCAAGGCGGGATTTGATGTCACCTATCTGCCTCAGGGACTCAAGGGCTTCATGCACAGACAGGAACCCTGTCCAAAAGAGAGTCAGGGTGTATTGAGCATCACCAGACTTAATGCATTTGAGGTGAAAATTACTCACCGAGTGCTGCTTGATGATTGAGATCTTATATGGGGACTGAGCTGCACTTTTGGTCTGTTTCTGCAACATTCACCTTGTTAGTTCTAACCTCATTTGGTGTTGAAGTAACAGCTGCACACGTGTTGTCATTGACATGGTACATTTCTCTTTAATTTAATTTTTATCTAAAGGTGTTGGCCTGTATATTGCTGTCTCTCATACCCTTGCTTTCTCTATTTCTAATCTATAGTTAGACTGGTTGTGGTTCTATTCATCAGTTATTATAGCTCATTTATTAGTTAATAGGATACTGTCTAAAATGGAGATACTTTTCAATATTTTATGTTGTCTAAGAAGTCATAATGCCTGTGAACTGAGAAGTGGAAGTCTGCTTTCTGATTCCCTGCCTGTCTCACTACAAATATTTATGACACATCAATTATGTATTGCATTTCTCCTCTCTCATACAATCTCCTTTTTTCATCCAATACATAGAGCAATGGATGATTGGCTCTTAGCACTGAGATCAGTGACTGAACAGTGATTCATAAAGCAGTTTCCCCTTGCTTTTATTTACTGAGGGAGCCTCCTTCCCTCACTGTCTGCACTTTAATATAAGCTGGAGACTGACAGAAAATAGGGAAGCTTTGAGATGTACTGTCTGGATTCCCTGACACAGCAGTGAGATGGATGTCAACAGCATCTTGACAAAGCGCTGAGCTGCTTAATGGCTACGTATTCAGTTTGGAGGTAGTTACATGAAGCAGCTATAGCTCGCATCCACCCATTTCCCTCTGGCTAAAAAGCTGCTGCATCTGAATTTAAGAACAGGAGCCTATGTCTTGCTTGTTTCTGTTTTTGTCTCGCTGTTTCTAAGTCTTTTGTGACGTGTTTTTGTATGTGCATTTTTTCCTGTATATGGTAAGGTACATGTAGTATGTGTGCATTTAGTCACTGATAACAGCAGTTTACAGTACTGGCAGTGATCACCCACCTTTGTGGTATTCCTGTTTGATCAGCTGCTGCTCCTGATGAAGGCTGTTCTCCACTGCAGTCATTCTTTTACTGAGTCTGGTTTCAGAGTGTTTCAGCTGCTCTGCCCGACTACAGGCCTCCCGGTCCAACTGGGTCTCAAAGTGCTCCATCCTGGCCTCGAGAGCACGCAGCCAGTCAGCTAATCTAGACTCTGCCTCTACCTAAACATAGAACACAGAGGAAGATGCAACAGCCTTTTTAATATAGTAAGTATGTAACCTTTCCAGCCTGATCAAATGCAAATCTTTGGACTCTTTTTCTGCTGGGTCACAGTTCAGTGGAACTGAATCCTACACATTAGAACACCACAACACACAAATGTTGTCTCTCCTCCTCATGACAAGTTGAGTGTTAAGGCATAATACAACAGCAACAAAAAGAGAAGACTGCACAGTCAAATCAGTCCAAATGCACAGATATTGCATATTTTAAATTACATCCTGTCCAATCTTACTGCATTTTGTTACTGTGGATATCATTGCATAAACTGCGGGTCAAACTGTAAGCTACTGTACCATTTTGTCTTGTAGTAGTGAGCGGAGTTGTTGGCTGGTCTCTGTGTGTGTTTGCATAGAGCTGTTTAGCTGTTGTTCTGTCCACTTCCTCAGCAGATCTGTCTGCTCCTTGGCTTCCTTTAGCTCACCTGACATCCTCATAGAAAGGATACACAAAGGGTCAAACCTACAGTAGATTGGCAAGTGGATATATATTACATGATCCTATGTTTGTGATAATGTTCTTTCTTTGTTTTAGTCATTGTTTTACCTGTTGCAGAAACTTAGATGAATAAAAGATGAAAAATTATACTCTATTTGTCTTTTTGTCAATATTTGACCACGACTCTGGAATGAACAGAACTGAGCAGCAAATCGGAATAGATTAAAAGCAAAATGAGAATATTACATGCCTTAGTGTCATAACAGGTAATCCAGGTGTGATTGGGTTGTGCCATTTTAACTAATGGCCTTACATGTCTTCTAGTAGTTTAACTTGTCTCTGCAGATCAGACATGGAGCTCTTTTGGCCATGGGAGTGTTGTGCCAATGAGGTCTCCAGTTTTCTCAGGTCATGGTGAAGCTAGCAATAGGAAAACACACAAACATATGCTGTTATTTGATGTTGGAGTGTCCCGTGGTACCAGCTCCATGACTTGATGTTTGCCCTTGGCAGTTTCTGCTGAGCTGAGCCGACTGAGCCGCTGCACCACTCCTGTAGCAAGTCAGGACTGGAAGGAACAATGCTGACCCACTTTCTTTGCATTTTCTATTATATTTATGTTATATACTTGACCAGTGCTCCACAGCTAATGTGCTTTTATTACAATGATTTACTACCTTACCACCAACAGAATTTAGTACAGGCTGGATCAGTATGAGTGTGTGTGCGTTGAGGGACGATAAATTTAGATTATGTAATGATAGAGACCATTATAACATGACATATATGTCTTAATCCAGGGTTTTATAATATTCATCTCATAAAAAATGGACACAAGGGGCAGTAAAAGCTGTTTATGAAGGGACCTTGCCAACCCTGTTTGAATTAATTTCACACCTCATTTCCTTCTTTCATTCTGTGGTCACAGTTGAGCCTCTGAGTTTAATCGATAAGGATAATCTCACTCAGCAGCAGCTCCAAATCACCCTCCAGGCATTGTTCTGAGGACAAACAGCCAAATACATCCTGTGTGTATTGTCAGATTATTTCCTTCATGCAAGCAGCACTTAAATGTTAACCCCATGTTGTACCTAACAAACTCACAAAGAATCTGAGACTGGATATTCAAATGAATCCCAGAACATCACAACACAATGTGTGTGAGTGTGTGCATGCGCGCATGCATGCATGTGAGCATTTGCGTGTATTAACAGAGGAGAAGGGTAACGACTATGTTATGCTGTCTATGGCCATACTAAAAGCTCTTTGAGGCTGAATCTAGGTAAAGCTGTGCTTTGAGCTAAATGCTAACATCAGCATTAGAATCAGAATCTGCTTTATTGGCCAGGTGTGTTGGACACATGAGGAATTTGACTCTGGTACAGCAGCTCTCAATATGTATGTACATATCCTTATGTAAGGCAATAGGAAATGGCAAGTAAACATAATAATATAAGGCTGAGAGAACACAAAGTAAAGGAATGGGTAATGTGCAAATAAACAAAGAAATGTGCATTAGGAAACGAGATAAAAATTAACATTCGCTAATTATGTTGCACAAATTACATCTTAAACTGAAGCTGAATGAGTGTGTGAATCCAGCCAGTAGATGTCAAGATAAATGACCTGCCACTGGCGCTACAGGAATACAAGAAATATCTGTACCAAATTTCATGACAATCCATCCAATAGTTGTTGAGACATGATTATTCAGAACAAAAAGGTCAACCTGCTGCTGGAGCTGAAAGATGAACAGGCTTTCGCAACAGTCCAGCACTGGAGTGTATCTGGTTTGTACATAGTATTTATTTAGCTAAACTGCTGCCTTAGGTCTCTCTGCCAAACCCATTGACGGCACTGATGCACATCTCTCACCTTAGCTTCCAGTTCCTTAAGCCTTGCATCCACAGCTGACCTGAGTTCTGCCACCTCCTGCTGCAGTCTAATCATCTTCCGCTCCCTAGAGCTCACATCAGCACTCAGCTTGGCAATACTGGCATCACACCTGGGATAATAGGTGGGGAAGCATAGAGGAATGGTGAGACTCCACTGAATGAGACTAGTGAGGTAGGACAGAATTAAGGAACGATGTGAATATAGAGAGATGAGCAGAAGCCTGGTGAGACCTGGGAGGAAGCTCTGTACTGAAACATCCACAGTTAATATGGTAAACAACCAGGAAGTGAGATGGAAAAATCAGACAGCTTCTCAGTACTTTCCATGGAAAACTAAGGGAAGCCAACAGAAGGCTCCGCTTGGAAATTTATTATTTTAATGCTAAACAAATACATTTGTTCCAGTGTATCTGTTAATGAATTACTGATGACAATGATGATGATGATGACGACGACGACGACGACGACGACTTAAAGGCATAAAATGGCATCCAATCATATAAAACTAGGCAAATGCATTTCCTGAAAAAAATGTGTATGGATGCTGATTGCTGAAGAATCGCCCTGAAAATGTTGGAATGGCTGAAATCCATTGCTGAAGGCTGAGATGCAATGCTGATGAAAAGAAAATGCTGAACAAATATGGAAGATGAAAAAAATGTTGAATCATTATAAAAGATGAAAAGAAAATATAGAATAATTATGTAAGATGAAAAGAAAAGCTGAATTTAGGACTCAGCATTGACACAATTAATATAGGCTGATTTTATTTTACACAATTAATATAAGCTGATTTTATTTAGAATAAACCTAAAACTTTGCCCCCAAAATCTATTTTCATAATGTGTTGAAGCCTCTACACACCAGTAGTCCCACTGCTGAGATCTTGTCAGGACTGTTTTATCCAACCAAACAGGCCTGTTCAGTTTTACTATCATGACAAAACCATCAGGGCAAACACCATTGGCCAAGATAGAAACAGCTAATGTTGCAACTGCAAATCAATTTTTAATGAAAATGAACAACTGAAACAAATAACTGACTAGATTCCAAC